TTAATTTTGAGTAACTTTACAGTGACTATTCTATCAACAACATTTTTTTATGAATAAAACAAAACTTCATATATGGTGATGTAGATTGAATTATTGTTCATTCCTCAACAATATTTAATATCACCACTGTACCCGTGGGCTGCCGGGGCAGGTCGCTTGTATTTCCTAGCAGAGTAATGATCAGGTATGCTACGGGATCAAGGGCGTTGAATAACCATTCACTTGCCTCATTCGATAAATATTGAAAACTCTTCTCTATTCACACAGCTAGGTTTGAATTTTTTTGAATTCAAAACATTGTATGTTCGAGGAAATCCGCACCAGTCTTCATGTAAAAACGTTATGGTGAAAATCAGGGCTCAAATAATAATATTCTGAATAATTTCGTCAAAGACGAAACGTACTGGTTTGACGATAGTCGTGTCACGAAGTGTTCTGGCGATGCATTGCATTTATTGGAGCCTCTGGAGACACCCTACATTTTGTTTTAAAAGAGAGAGGACATTGTTAGATCAAGATCTTCAGATGATGTGGTGCTGCAGNTATTTAGTTTTAATATAGATTTTCATCAAGTATCGGTCAGTTCTATTCAATAATTCTGTTTTAGAAAACTATCAAATGTTGACAAGATTACTTAGTAAATATTTGGGTTTTTCAATAAGATCACTTGTAAGTAAATGTCGCACTTCGGTACAATGACATAATCAGGAGGCAGGTTGGTCCTTTTTTTCCACTTTTTTGAATACGCATTTGGAATTTATAATTTTGCAGAACATTAAGTACGTGCTTATATATTCTAGGTGTCAACTAATTGGCATTTCACTGTCCGATCGTTTTCTCACATCAGGGTAGAAATATGGCAAAAATTTTTGCGTTGTCTGATATTCATGATTTGGGCTCTTTTATTAAAGTGATCGCTAAAATAATAACGTGTGTTGTTAATTATGTTTATGATCCATTTTTGAATTACATTGCCACTTTCTAAAAAACAATAACTAACAGCCCTCAACCCAAAATTGTGTGTAAAAGTTGTGACTGTATTAGCGAGAAATAGAATATTTTGAATTGTCCAATATCCATAAAATCATTAAGATATCTAAATTAATTTCGAATGGAACCTCTTATTTTTGGAAATATATCGTGACCCCAAGCCATTTCACCGATATTGCTGAAGGGATTTCTTTATTTAAACCTACCTTGAGGAGGCCTAGATTTGGTAATTCGCTGATATTACATAAGATGTAACAGTCAATTTATTGAATTGAAACCATTTAAAAATTCATAGAAAATCATCTTCAACGGTATGTTTCATGTTTTTGCCAAGTTGAAGAAGTATATAAAATGGCAGTATCATCGGCAAAACTGATTATTTGCCTAGAAGTATTCAGGGTTGAAAAACTATTCATGTAGATCGTGAAGAGAAGTGGTCCCAGTACAGTACCTTGAGGAAGATTATGAGTCTCAGTTCTGGGCATACTCAAAACACCATCAACACCCACAGTCTATTCTGGAAAAATCTATAGTTTTACCAAGACTCGTTATTTTTCCATCTAAAGCATTATAAATGATTGAAGTTAGTTTATAAATGGCGTTTCCGGTGAACCTGCCTTAATCTGGTCAAAATTTATTATTCCGTTAACCAGCTGGTAACATTGATTTCGAAAAACGTAACCATTGACATTTGTTGTTTTGTATCCTCGTAAATTTTCATCGTTGTATTACATTTTATTCGAATTCATCAATAAGACCTCCTATAATAAATCTCTTGACAATAAATCCTAAATTATTATTGTTACTAGTATTTCAAGACACAACGAGTTTAAACAAATACATTTTTATAGTCATGAAATGTAACTGAATTTTGCTTGAATCTCGATGAAGCGAATTCTTTGTTTCCATCAAATTTCCACACAATGGCAATTCCACTAATTCATTCTTCGGCATTTCAGGTGCGCAGGTTTTGTCCTCCCATCATCCAGCATCCCTACCAACATCATGGACGCCAGTTACGTCCCCAACAACCCCCAGTTCGGGTTGCAGCTGGAGTGTAACTGGAGTGGATCTCCTGCAGGAATACAACAGGTAGACTAATTGTTTATTGAGAATTTGACAAGTGATTGTGCATGACTATATTCATTTTGAAGTTGAAAGCTTTTGGGACACTTTTTATAGTTTGGTTGACTTTGAAAGCCGTGATATGGAAACCACGTACACCATTGGAGATTGCACAGTTCTTCAGTTGCCATATTCGTTTCAGAATTTTTATGATAATATCATTAGAGTCATTTTTGATGAATATANTAAAAATCGAAAACCCAATTCACAACTTTGTTTCATAAGTTTGAAAAGTCATTATTTCTATTGATGTTTTATTAGTATTGATTGAGCTGTTCATCACTATATTGTTAACTAAAGCAACTGCAAAAATATTATCTGAAAATTATAAAATAGCTCATAGAATAACTACAAAACTATTATGTGAATATTCATGACTTCAATAACTTTTTAAATTTTCGTGAGATTTCCTTAAGAACGATGGAAATATTTTAAAAACAAATCAGGCGAAACACTAAGTAGGATTGTTCGGAAAGTAGAAAAATCAGTTGGAAGAAAAACAATATGAAAACCATGAAGAACCATTGAAGATTGCACAACTCATTAGTTGCAATATTTGTTTCGGAATTTTTAAGATTAAATCGTTAGAGTCACCCTTCACGAATATTTATGGCATTATCGATTAACTGAATTTTTTAATTTTTCACGTAATCTGTTTGCTCAAAATTTCCCCCTAAAATTATCCCTTATTAACGCATTTGATATTGCTTATGAGAATAATAGTAACGACACAAATATTTTGAATATTATTCATCATCATTTTCCATAGTATTATGCACTTTTATCAGGTAGTTGAAGCGAAAACACAACAATAAAGGTTAATCGAGTTTTGTTAAAAATTTGGATTTGCCACGTTTTTTACGAAACGCGAATAAGTTTGAAAATTCATTATTTTCATTGGTGTTTCATTAGTGTTGATTAAGCTATTCATCACTATATCATTACCTAAAGCCACTGCAAGAATATTATAAAATCAAAATTCTACAGCATCTCATAGAATAACTACAAAACTATTATGATGAAGTTCTGGTGTTTGGGAACATAACTTGTTTTGAATTACTATTATGGCATCAATATGCACATATTTACTTTAAATTGAATCAAACTTCTACTTCGTTTGTCATAGGAGGGGATTTAAAAAAAAATATAGGCTGCTAGAGTCGCTGATTTATTTCTAGCGACTCCAGCAGGTTCTACTTCTGACTCTCCATGTAAAAGCTGAGGGACAAAAGTTGAACCTGCTGGAATCGCTGGAAATGATTAAGTCACTTCAGCAGGTTCAACTTGTGTCCTTCCATGAAGAACCTAAAGGACAGCAGGTTCAAATTCTGTTCCTCCATGTAGAAGCTAACAGACAGAAGTTCAACCTGCTGGAGTCGCTGGAAGTAAATAAGCCACTCCAGCAGATTCAACTTGTGTCCCTCCATGTAGAACCTAAGGGACAGCAGGTTCAACTTCTGTTCCTCCATGTAGAAGCTAAGGGACAGCAGGTTCAACTTCTCTTCCTCCATGTAGAAGCTAACAGACAAAAGTTCAACCTGCTGGAGTCGCTGGAAATAAATGCGCCTTTCCAGCAGGTTCAACTTGTCCCTCCATGTAGAAGCTAAGGGACAGCAGGTTCGACTTACAGAAGTTGAACTTGCTGGAGTCGCTCATTTATTTCCAGCGACTCCAGCAGGTTCAACTTTTGTCCCTTAGTTTCTACATGGAGGGACAGAAGTTGAACCTACTGGAGTCGCTGGAAGTAAATAAGGGTGAAAATTCGGGTTCCCATGAACTAATAGTGTAAGTGGTGTAAAAACTCTACCTGAGATCATTTTTACTGATAACCACAGATGTTAGGTATCGATAATTGAAATGTTTGTGAAAATTGGGTAATTGTTATCATGGATATTGTTATTAATTCTCATCAAGTAACGTCTCAGTCCATTCATAAATAGTCTTGTGAACTTTCAAAAATTCTTCGATGTTCTACTTTGATCCCAGATTCGAAATATTTTTGTTACAGGTGACAAACTGTACCGACGATTTATCTTCGTGTTGGAGCGAGGATATGGGCTCTTTTTCGCTACCACTGGATCTGGAACCTCTTCCCAGTCTTTTCAATATCTCACCATGTAGCAATGGAACGAATGGAAGCTACAAGTGAGTACATTACCAACTAGAATTTATATACATTGTGGATGATGATACCAACAGTGATTGAAAAAATTAAGACAGGTTGATCCATGAAACTCAATTATTTTCAATGTTTCTGATCCTAGAAGTCGAGAAGGTGTATAACGAATAGCTCAGTCATTTGCGAAAATTTCAATTATGTCACGAAACCACTGCATTATAAGGTGAAGCGACATTCCTGTCATTGCGCAGCTTATTCAACCTTCTTGGGGATTCCCTCCGTGGAGGTGCACAAGTGAGGGAGCTTTCCTGCAGGAGCAGCCGGTTCCTTGCCTTCATTCAAGGCGGAGCTCTTGGCCCCCGCCGCAGAAAGTGCCCTTACTGTTGGAGGTGATCTGCTATGTTCAGCCTCACCACGAGGGGTACAAATATTCCTGGAAAGTGTCTCTCTCGACTATAAAATTAACCTGTTTTTTAGATTCCTCATTTTATTTACTGGAAGGAAGATAATAAGGGTGCGCAGTTTTCAAATGGACACCCTGTACCACGACACAGTAAAATGAATATTCATTGAGGTATGGAGTTACAACAACACATGACATTGAAACGGACAAAAGTTTTCAAACAACTCAATATGTCCCCCCCTGAGTAAAATATTCCAGATAAATATCAATAAAGCATGAAACACATTTTTTAAACACCGCGTAGGTCTGTAAGACAACCAATCGATACAGTGATAACGATCTTCTTAACCACATCTGTATTCACCTTGAGCGACAGAAAAGTCAGTCACAAAATGTCATTGTCAGAACAGAAGAGAGAATGGTTTTCCATATAAAATTACGAGAACTCAGCAAACTCCTGGTTCTGAACACAAGGGTAGCATACATTTCCTGCAGTCCTTCTCGCTATGCTCATACCAAAGGATACGACAGTAGTTGTAAGCAGAACATTCTCTACATGGAACCTTGCTGCAAGGTAGCCGTGATCACTGGAGGTTCAGACGGTATAGGCTTCGCCACGGCACAACAACTGCTCTGCTGCAAAGCAAAACACGTGGCCCTGATCGGCCTGGACATCGCCAGAGGCCTGGATGCAGTGAACACTCTGAACTGCTCTCACGGGAAAAACAAAGCTACTTTTATTAAATGCGACGTGAGGAACAAAGAAGCTGTCGACGACACTTTCCTGAAGATCAAAAACGAGTTCAAGAAGGTGGACATCATCGTCAGCGCCGCTGGAATCTGGAACGAACAGAAATGGCAGGAGCAGATTCAAACCAACCTGATCGGAACCATCAACGTTAACCTAGCTGTGCAGGAATGCTTTCGTAAGTCGAACACAGTCGTTATCAATATAGCAGGGCTTTCGGGAATACAACCTTTTCCTTACTCCCCGATTTTCGCCTCTGGCAGTACAGGCATCGTCAAGCTGTCACAAAGCTTCGGCCATCCGGATAACTTCGTGAGGACTGGAATAAGAGTCGTGGCTCTTTGTGCTGGTATCACTTCCACTACTCTGATTAAGGATGTGGACCAGCGCATGCTCAATCCGGAGATGGGCAAGGAGCTGAAAGAGTTCCTGAAGACTGCGATATGCCAGAAACCTGATGCTGTGGCGAAAGCTGTGCTGGAAGTTGTCAAGTTCGGGGCTACTCATACTGTGTGGCTTGTGGAAGGGTCTAGATTACTGCATCTAGAGATGCCCGACTGGAGGAAGCACTGTGTTCTAGTATCTCAATTCACGTGATTTTACATGTATCCCTATTTTATGATTATACTCTTTCATACCTGTTGTAATATTTTATTGATATTCTCGATATGGAAAAGTAGTATTTTTCCCTTAAACAAATGTGTATGTGAAATACGAGTGAATAGATGGGCTTATGGAAAATAAACAACTCTTACGGTTAGTTCATAATTGATAAAAATGGTTCTTGCAAATGAATACTTTGCCTAATGTAATGAATCGGAACTTTGTAACTTCTTCCCAGATCCAAATGTCATAATTAATGATTTTTTGATCAGAAATAAAAATCACAGTAAATATTAAAGGAAATATGAGGGGCTTGTATTATTGGTCGAACTCATGTCCTTCTGTGATTAAATGAGTGGCATGTGTGGAATTGATTTTTCATTCTAGAAACTATATTTGTGTTCCTCAATGCGGGCTTTGAACGCTCTTCCAGTTTGACCTATATAAAACATCGGACATAATCCACACCATAATTTATACAATCCTGATTTTTCTAAAACTGAACTTTTATCTTTGTTATTCTTAATGTGCATGCCTAAGTTGCTATTGGTTTTGAAAGCAATATTTACTCCTTTGCTGTGCAGAAAATCTGGAATATTTGTAGTGGGTTGGCCTGAGTAGGTAAAGGTTCTATAACTTTCATCCTCTTCTTTTTGAATTGGGTAAACTTCTTTCAAAACTTGACTATATAACTTTTTTGATGATAAAGAATGTGTTCAGAAGAATGTAATCATTGTTGACGACTATTTGCTTCATTATATTCAGTACTTTATTGAAATTCATCTCTGACAAGGGCACATTTATCAGTCTGTGGATCATACTATTGAAAGCTGCTACCTTATGCTGATATGGGTGACTGGACGAATTATGAGTGATAATATCTGTATGTGCCGGTTTACGATAAATTGAAAAATCATGTTTGTTGTTAACTTTTGTTATTGTCAAAACCAAAAAATTCAAAGAGTCGTCCTGTTCCATCTCCATTGTGAATGTGATAGAGGGGTGGAGAGAATTGATGAAATTCGAAAAGTTAGTCAACAGTCTGTTAGTTCCTGTGAAACATACCAGGATATCATCCACATATCTATACCAATACATGAAACTTCTCACCAGTGGGTTACTGCGTATTCTTCTCTCCAAATCGTCCATGAAAATCTCTGCTAGAATAGGACTAAGTGGATTTCTAATTATGAGACCTTTGCATGATGAGAAAAAGTTTCATTGATTTGGAAGTAATTCTGTGACAAACACACCGTAAGCAAGTCTAATATTTCATTTTTCACTACCGGATTTATCGAAATCCCATGCTTTTTCTTATGTTGCTTCATTTTCAGACCTCCCAGAGGATTCTTGTGGAACACCCACTTCGAGGTAGGTCTGATGTGTGTAAGAGTGTATGATGCAATGTGTATGTGTCTATGGGGAAGAAGGTGATGACGTCACTGCAGAGTTGGAAAAAATCAAAGATGTTGACATGCCTAAAGGGCACTTAACCGCATCTTTGCTAATAATAGTCGCATCATCACGTGCAGTACATAAAATGAAAGGAAAAGGAAAGTAGAATTCATTGATAAAGAAACAAATGGAGATGATGCGACTATTATTAGCGAAGGTACGGCTCAGTACCCTTTTGGCATGACACCAACTCTGATTTTTCTCCAGACCACACTGACGGCATCATCTACTACCTCGTACACACATACATATCAAATCTAACTTCATCAAATCTAACTTGAGATAAGAGTTCCACAAGGTTTCGCTCGAAGGTTTGAGACTTGCAAAAAGAGGCAGCATAGGAAAAAGCATGGGATTTTGGGCTAGAATCAGCATCGTACCAACCATTTCTCGAAAATATTAGCTTCCATTTTCTTATGTTAGTCAACATTGCAGTCCTCAAGTTTTTTCCACATAATTTCAAAGGATTCGGAACCCTTTGTTTGCAGGCATGTTGCGTACACATTTTCGAACCATTAGTCCACCCTTTCGTAACTATGTCGTGAGTGTCATACCAAGTTTAGTCCAAATAGAAAATTTGCCGTTATTCTTGTCTATATATACTTATTTGTTCTATGTATTCGTTACGCAATTCCACTATTATTGTGTTTTCCATAACTGATTGACATTTGTTTATTATTTTAAATCTAAATCCCAGTTTCTTTATCTAATTCTGAAGAGTTTTGTCACAGCAGCTCACGTTATGACAGAAATATTCAATTTCCTCCTTATGATTTCAGTTGTAGGAATATCATTGCTCCTGTAATAGTCCTATATTGTTTTTCCCACATCGCGTCTTGCGTTCATAAGGTTAGTTTTTGACTATTTTACGTACAGTTGAGAAAGAAATTTCGGTCAAATCCGATGTAGCTTGTGATAGTTTGTTTCCCTCGAAACCAAACTTGAGCTATAGATTCTTATATACGTTGAAACATACTCTCTGTGTTTCAATATTCAATACCAGTTACTTCGACTATAAAGTCATCTTTATTGATAACAGTGGTATATCACTTGAAATCATAATGTTTTGCATAAATTATCAATGGAAAGTAGAAGAAAGTAATGGTGCAAAAATGGATCCTTGAGGATCTCCACTAGTGGCTGTCAGTTTCATCGCTGCTGAGAGGAATCGTTTTATGAAAATTATANAAGGCAAGGGAAAAAGTCTTGGAAAATATTTTAGGGAGCTTTAGATGAAAACAAAACAGTTTATTTTTCTTCAATAGTCTTGAATGAAGAGTCATTTAAAACTGTGTTTGTACTATCTGTGTGATGTTATCAAAGTAGGGTTGAGTTAGGTCCAAAGTGAGTGGGTCTGTTCGACCCTCCACCGCAACCCATAAGGGTTTATTGTGGCTTACACCTATTCACACTCGATATAATAAACCCAGCTTCTTAACGAAGCCGATTAGTTGGAATGGTGAGTGGTCTTTCAGGTTAGATGGTTTGGTAAACCCTCAAGCCATGCCAATGACAGGTTCTGGTCCAATGAAACCGCTTGCAGCACCCTTCTCTGCAAGAGAGTCCGCAGCTTCATTGCCTTCCAGACCAGTATGGTCAGGAATCCAGACCAAAGACAATCTGTTGAGTCTTCCTATCGAGGAGAGTCTTTTTTGGCAATTTGCTACCAATTTAGACGTTGCTCGGTGGAGCCAAGAGCTTCCAACGCCGCTTGACTGTCCGTGAATATTTTCATTGACTTGTGTATGAGGTTGAATTCATATTATGAAGGAAAGCTGCAGAACTGTCACCTTCTAGCTTCATGTGGGTGCCTAGTCATTGTGGCATAAAGAACAACGAGGATGTGGACAATGCAGCTAGAATGATTGCCAACCCTAACGAATATGAGGATGTACCACTCCACTCAGAAGATCTGAAGAATTTTAATAAAACCAAAGAAAAATCTGACTGACAGATTCTTTGGAATGAAACTAACGCCAAACTGAAATGCTCGAAACCAAGTGTGAATAAGCGAATCTCACCATTGAAATCGACCAGGAAAGTTGTTCTTACGCGTCTGCGAATCGGCCACACAAAAATGACACACCTTTACTTGCTCCTAGGAGAACAAACAACCTCTATGTACTACATGCCAAACAGTACTAACAGTATAACATATACTTGTAGAAAGTCCAGAGTATGAGGAAACCACGAGACAACATGATATAACTGGGGCAATGAAAGAAATTCTATGTGATGATAGACGAACGTTGAGCAACCTGATGGCATTTTTGAAAGCCGCTAATATAACAGATGAAATTTGAAAAACAAACAACAAGTCCGCGGCTAATAATGTATCAGTAGATTCCGCAAAAAACTATCTACTCCTAGTATTTCCTTCTCCCAGAGGATCCAGTCCTCTCTACTCTACTCTACTCTCTTCTCTCCACCATGGGACTCTTACATTCAACTTTCATTCAATGTAGGTTCAATGGAGTACCACACCTCAAGTAACACCACAGAGCTACCAGAATCAAGGACTACTGAGCCCATCGTATGGAGGAACCTACTCCTTCACAGCAGACTTTAGACCGCAACAGGAAACTCCTGTTTTGACTCCATCATACAAGACTGTGCCGATGTCTTTCGCTTCACCTAGGAGGAGGCATAGCATTAGCTTGTTGGATGAAGATAGTCAGAAGCCGAATGTATGTAGAATATGTGGTGAGTTGTACTTATTTTAGTGATGTTGACTTTGTTTCTTGTACAATCGACCTTCGAAAAGTCAGAATTTGAAAATTTTGCAAACTCCGTTCCACCCAGCTCAAGCAATTGGGAAACTGTTTAGCTCTAGATGAATTGGGATTGTTGAATGTCTACTCTTCTATGGCTTACTCTCACATCAGCTTTCATATCATGTCTTGAGGATCTGCCAATTAATTTTTTTTTCGCGCAGCAAAGACTGATGAGAATGATATACAATTCAGAATTTCAAGATAGTTGTAGACAAATTCTCTAAGAGATGGCAGCATCTATATGCATCTTGAAATGTGTCACTTTTGCTCATGAAAGTACATTTTTCTACAACTGTCATTGAACACTCCACTGAGTTACAGGCTCTAAGGCTGGTCGAAAACACCATCCGCGAGTTGAACACAAACAAAAAAGTGCACATTGTTTTATTAGACACCTCGAAGGCCTTCGACCGTATTTGGCACGAAGGTCTTCTGCACAAATTAAATGCTTTCGACCTACCTCGGGGCCTTGTCCGGTAGATCGGGTCCTTCCTGAAAGACAGGACATTTCAGGTTAGAGTAGAGGGATCTCTGTCTGATAACAGAGAGATCCTTGCTGTACTGCCACAGGGGGCCGTGCTCAGAAAATCAAAAATGAGTCTTAAAAACAAAATTACCATCGATGTTCAAGCCTGTCATCATGTATGCTTCAGGCGTCTGGGGTCAAGCGGCGAAATCTGGAGGTATTGCAAAACAAGCTAATAGGGATGATTATGAATGCTCCTTGGTTCGTGCGGAATGAAGCCATCCGCAGAGATTTGCAGCTGCCTTCCATTAGGCAGTCCATTCAGTCGAGGAATTAGAGAGTTT